CCATGATGGATGCAGCCCCAACTTGTTTATTCTCCCTCCTGCGTTTTATTGTATGACAAACAATGACCACTAGTTTTTTATTTTTTATATGAGATAGCAATATCATGCACGGCCTCTTTGAGGATGTTACTAAAAGGTACAATCTTTAAAAATAATTACCTGTATTTTGAATAAAAATGACTCCCTGAGTAGAATCCAACCTCAGCAATGTTGGTCAGGTCCACAGTCCATTTTATGAACAGGGGGTAGATTTGCATGTCGATTATCTGTACCTTTTCTCCCTATTCCAATTGTCACATGTCTCCCACTTTTGAATGCGATCACTTGGCAATTTCATTTATCTACGTCGCCCAGCTACATCTGTGGGGAACAACTCACTAGACACTTCCCTCTCAAAAGCAACTTCATCAAATTTACAATCTCATCAAGTTGTCAGCTCATGTTTGAATCTCCAGAAATGACGTTGTGATAAAACAATGTTTCGTTCTTCATTGTTTTTTTGTGATTTATTGTGTATCTTTCTTATATGAACCTATATTCTGTTGAGCCAAAATGAACTCTGGACTAGACTCGTGAAGATTCCAGGGTAAAATAGGTCTTCAGCAACCCATACTTGCCGTAAAAGGATCGGGTTGTCAGGCTCGCTGACTTGGTTGATACATATCATCGATCCCAATTGCGTGGATCGATGCTCATGATGTCAATCACTGGATTGTCTGGTCCAGACTCGATTATTTTACAGACCACCGTCGTATAGCTGAAATATTGCTGAGTGCGGCGTTAAACAACAAACAAACAAACTAAAAAAACTCTTGACTAGCTGGATGTACTTCATGATGTCTACCTCTGTTTATGTGGTATATATTTTATAAAAATGAAACTGAAATAGTTTTGTGAAATCTAACTCTTGACATTAAATCAGCATTAGTAATAAGACATTTCTAATCCATCAACAGTGGTGTAATCATCATGACTATTATAATGAAAATATATTTTCAACATCTTTCAAAGGTCTTTGGGTTCATTTTCATAAATGACTTTTCTTCAAAAACATTTTCCACCAAAGAAATGGAAATTACCTGGTATCAGTAAATGTGTTTTGTATTTGACAAATTTTCTGGGCCAAAGATCCAAAGCCAGTCTACATGAACTTTTATGATTGATTTGCTGGTGATAGATTTGGTTCTGTGACAGATGAGTTCTCTAGCAATGGCCATGATTGCTTCTCAGCACATGCTCAGCTTCTGGTAGTGATGTCCACAATCGTCTTGGAGGGTGACCACCTCCTCTTCTCCGCTACATCCCAATTGACCTCCACAACTCCATCTCTGCCGAAATCCTTGCCCAACATGGAAATAAAAGAGGCAGTGTGTCCATGGGGATCTATGAAACCAATTTTCTGTCTTTGTTGGACAGAGCCATGTGTTTTAATCGCATCAAGTTCTGTGTGACAATAAAATGATGCAATTAAGAAAGCCCATTTCCTGGGAGAAATAAAAAGGCTCTTGAGAGGTTGTCGATTGGGTTACAATGATGTTGATAGGCTCAAGTGTACATTCGTACCGTCTCCCAGTCTTGTTTGCTACAGGAATTCTTTTATAAGAACACTTTAAATACAAAAGGCACCCGTGCAGGAAACAGTTTCTGAGATATATCATAAACTGATGATGAAATGACATATTAACTTTTTCTCAATTTCCATTTTGACTTATTCAGACCTGTATCAGAGGACCGATGAACCTTAAAAAACAGTACTAAATTTTTCTGATATGCATGCCAAGTCACAGAGAGACCATCAGTGTAACTCACTGAATTTATTTCCTTTTTAAGTTAGTATTCAAATTTTTAATATAAAAAATTCCAAATATTCCAAATGTTCAAGTTAATGTGATTGTGTCACTTCAATTCTTGTGAACTTGCATTATACAGTGGATAGAGAGAGGTATGAGTTCTCTGTGAAATGGACAATTTTGATGTCCAAAGTTATGAATTTAAATGAAATGTTGAAAGTAAATATGAGACAACAAATTTTAATTTTCAGTTTGATTGAAATATGTAAAGTATAAATTAATTAAGCGACCATGTAAAAATGCTGGGCCAGGGGTCTACCCATATAGTTCAGAAACATAAGGGTTAATAAATAACCTGAGCCTTCTGGTAACCCAGAGCACTAGACTTGAATTTGAGATGTTTCCTGATTGAACTATGTGATCTGGGCTCAGACATCTATATAGCCTTGCTTTTGTTCATGTTTCACATTCACGAGCCTTTGACCACTTGTTTCTGACACACTACACCGGAAGAAGTGATTTCTTTGATGACGTCAATTGAATACTTCTTTGATATCTTCGAACACTTAAAATGCAGCAATCAGCACATCTAAAGAACTTATTTCTGGGACACATGTATATGAATTCTGTCATGTTTTTAATACTGTTTTTTGCAAAAGTCAAATATTTAAAAAAATCTGAATTTATATGAGTTTATAAGCTCCAGGTCAGCTTTCTTCAGATAAAGGAAATATCCTGATTCAGGCAATAACTAGAAAAAAATCCAAGCTTGCATGATCGTTTACATTTTTTTCCTTTATTTTTCAGTACTAAAAAATATAATTGAGTTACAAAGTTTTATTGGATTGCATCTTAACCAGGAGGGGTTAAATTGGTTCATTGTTGGGATGGAGATGACATTTTGAGAACAACACTTTCATCAGGGTGAGACAGTGTGCTTGCTCCAGTGCTTTGCACAAAAGTAACTTCTTTCAAGGGGGCTTCATAATCGAAATAGCTAGAGTTAGGCTAGACAAAAGATAGAAAAGGCTGGAGTTTTGACTGAACCTGAGGCAGGTTGACGAGGCAATAGAGTCCTGCTGGGGTATGGAAGGACTTGAGATTGGATTTGTCACAACCATATGGTATAGAAGTCTTAACAGACCTCATTTGCATAAAGTCATTGATGCTAACATTTGGCTGTTCTTTTTCTTTGGGTGCATTGAGAATTTTGTAAAGGAGAAAATATTGACGAGTACATTAGTGATTGCTGGTTAACCTGCTTTGAAATGATGCTTATGTCTTCTTGTTTATAGTCTTTGTAGATGGCCTTATGGGGTTTCTGGGTTTGCAAAGAATTGTTTTTTTGTTGTTTAGAGTCACGCTCAGCAATATTCCAACTATGTGACTGTGGTCTGTAAATAATTGAGTCTGGACCAGACAATCCAGTGACTGACATCATGAGCATCGATATAAGCTATTGGGATACAATGACATGCATTAACGAAGTTAGTGAACCTGACCACCCGATCCTGTTAGTTGCCTCTAATAACAAGCATGAGTTCCTGAAGACCTCTTCTGAACCGGAATCTTCACAGGTATAGGTCCTAGTAACCTATGTTTGACCTATTGCATGTCAGCGTACACTGTGATGCTGATTGTTACTCATAATGTCAACCACTGGTTTATCTGCTTGAGGCTCTCTCTACAGGCTCACATGGCACATCTGGAATATTGCTGATTGTATAGAGTTAAATAACAAACAAACAAACAAATCAACTGTACCTGTAAGTGATTGAAATCAATCTGGAAAACGTTAGTTCTCTGTCAGAAAATTGGAAACTTAAACTGTCTTTCCAATAGCTGTAAATGCAAGAATGCTGACAAAAGAATCGTGTTGATCATTCCAATGCCTCATTCCTCATTTGTAGGATGTTATCATGTTAGAAGGAGTGACTTTATCATTTTTCCCAAGAGTGAATCTTTGTTTCTTGAAATTCAATATAAAAGTTTTACAGTGTGTTTCACCATCTGATGACTGATCTTTTGACATACCATCTTGACATACTATCTCCTTTTAAAGGGCCACCCCCAAAATGTGATTTCTTAACAGTGATCCATCTGTGATGTTAGCAGGGAGGCAAACTAACTCCCAGTCTGTCTGACAGTCCCTAACCTGTATTATTTTCCCATTTCGGCCAGTCCTTATTTTAATGCTATAGCCCAAAATGAAGCAAGTCTAGATTTTCCCCAGGTTCACATTTTGAATCTTCTGTCTTACTGGGGCTCCTTTTTTCAGTTTAAATGTAGTTGCTCATTTCTATCAAAACCATATATTTTCCAAGACTGAGTATTTGTCTAGTAAACCCAAGAAAGTTGTTGTGAGTTACGAAAAGTTTACTTGGAAGATGACCCGAGAAGATCCAGGGTAGAATAGGTCTTCAGCAACCCATGCTTGCCGTAAAAGCCAACTATGCTTGTTGTAAGAGGTGACTAACGAGATCGGGTGGTCAGACTCGCTGACTTGGTTTATGCATGTCATCGTATCCCAATTGCCTGGATCAATGGTCATGATGTCAATCACTCGATTATTTGCAGACCGCCGTCATATAGCTGGAATATTTCTGAGGGCTGTGTTAAGCAATAAATAAACAAACACTTGGAAGATATAAATACTATTTCTGTTAAACATGCAGGATATTTGCTCATTATTAAGTAACGTGTACAGACATTTATTAATGTCAGAGAAGGCTTTGTTCTCTGTATTCAGAGCCAAAGGTTCTTGTGTTAAAATTAATTAGTTTCTTTTTGTTAAATTCTTTATTTTTGTTTGATCCGTAAAATATAGAACATTGAAATATGAAAATTGAATTAAATTATTTCAATTTTTGTCTTCAATTTTCTGATTGTTACATTTGGCTCTGGTAAGTTGAATTTATGAAACAATTCATAATGAGATTTTGTTCCAAGAATTATATCAAATTATATAACTAACATTTAATTTGATTTGATGAATGTCAATACAGTATGTTTAGAAAGGAATAAGAAAGGTATGGTACGACAAACCCACTTGCACAAAGACTGTCTTCTGGTTATACTGCTGTAGAATCTTGTTAATAAGCACATGTTGAATTTGATGCCTTGTTCATGATAATGGCAGCAGATGATGAAAGATTATTTGCTTTATATAAAGTTACATTTGACTGTCATAATGGAAGTCAAATAAGGTCCATGGTTATCTCAATCCTGATGATCTCAGACTTTGTTCCTCCATCAGAGAGCATAGCTGATTCAATGGTCGATGTCCAAGCCTTGAAGGATCTGCTGGTCCATGGGGCACAGGTGGCCCAGTCGTCTAAGGCGCCGCGATTCGCTGTGCAGAGTTGCGTCCCTTGGGCACGCCAGAAACCTATGATCGTGGGTTCAAATCCCGGTTCGCCCCGATTATGTTTCTAGGTTTGTCAGCACCATACCCGTGCTTGTGGGTTTCACCAAAGTAAACGTCTGAGACCTGCATCACTTCGGGCTTTCCTCCCACATTAAGCTGACATGCCGCGATATAACTGGAATACTGTTAAAAAGCGGCGTTAAAACCCAACTCACTCCCTCACTCACTCTGCTGGTCCTGCTGAAACACAGATATATCCTGACTCTGATCCTTGTTCTGTCAGAACCATCATATCCATGTCATGTGTGGGCAAGACACAGATTTCTCTGGATATAAAAGATAATGTGTTTTAAACTATGCTTTAAAGGTGACTAAAGATTTCAAGCAAAGACCTTCCAGAGTAGTCCAAACTTCACCACTTTGGAATTCCTTCATCCATAAAGGTGACATTCCTTGATGGAAATGAAATTTTCAAAGATTGCTTATCCCAGTATCTCACAAATGTGAAATATAGAACCTATGTGGAAGTATAGTCACCATACCACTGTGAGGAAATATGTTATCGCTGAAAGGGCACTCATTACATGAAATTGTTTTATATTTTTTAATCATTTTGGGAGGGGTGGGATGGGGTGGGGTGGTCTTGATGGAATAATTATTTAACTCACTTATTTCCCATGATGGGAATCAATCCATGGACCTTCTGATCTGAGGTCCGAATAACCAAACAGGTTAACCCTAATGCAATGTCCAAACCCTAATGCCCTGTCCAAACCCTAATGCCCTGTCCAAACCCTAATGCCCTGTCCAAACAAGGCACATCCCATGCTATACTGATGTTTCCTACACTCACATTTGATGTGAACATGGTCCGACTGGGCATCAATGTTTGTTTTGTTTGTTTGTTTGTTTGTTTGTTTAACACCACTCTCAGCAGTATTCCAGCTGTATCGCGTTGGTCTGTAAATAATCGAGTCTGGATCAGACAGTCCAGTGATTGTATCATGAGCATCATTCTACGTAAATGGGATACGATGACATGCATCAACCAAGTCAGCGAGCCTGACCACCCGATCACGTTAGTCGCCTCTTACGACAAGCATGGGTTGCTGAAGACCAGTTCTGACCTGGCTCTTCATGGGACGAGCATCAACACAGTGACCATAGAGTCACAGGATGGCATTATAAAAATAGAGATCATCATACTGCTGGGATATTGCTGAGTGCAGCATTAAACAAATAACTTGAGAACAATAGGTTAACAACTCGGTCATACCTGTGATTTCTTCATCCATCAGACAGCAGATACAATAATTTTGTTTCTGTTTGAAGTCACTTTGTTTCCAGAGAACTATATCTGTTAAAAAATATTAATATTTCTCCATGAAACTGGTCATCTTGGTCTGGTGTTTTGATAATCTCACCAGCTGGTGGTGCTTTTGTATGCTGCATCCTTTGTTTTCTGAATTAACTTGACAAGAATTGCAAACACAATTTCCACTGCATCCCAGACAATATGTAATTGGCTTGACAATGGTTGTTTCATATTAAGGCATGTGGTTTGTTGTTAAATTGAATTTTGATCTAGACCTGGCTATGTAAAATAATGTCTTTGTGCAATAAATAACATCAAATCCTTTTTTTAAATGTTTTGGGAGTGTTTGACTCTGTGAAAAGAAATTCAAGGTCATGAATAAGAAGATACATAGATAATTGGCCTGGAGGAACTATCTTGTTTAATGTATCTCCTTGGCTGCAAATGAAGATATCAAAATACGCCACAAAACAGATGTCAAAATCGTTATTTTGAATTGCCTTTTTCCTCCATTGCCTGCAAATTGCAGGTTTTTGTGGTACACTTTCAGAGGGATTGGCAAGGATATTGTTCAAATTCTTATTCCTTGGTATATGACCATGAGATGTGAGCGTGCTCAAAGACTTAAAATGGTTTCTGGGAATAATAGTGGAGTAATATTCCGTGACTAGCTAGGAAGTCATTTTCTGGTAAGTCTGTTATTAAGGCAGCAGATTGAGTACAAACAGATGTGTTCGTGTTCTGTAGCCACACCATGACTGCATGACTTTGAGGCAGCTGTTGTTTATTTATCTTGTAGTATTCCTTCCCTGTGGCTTGCAGTGTTATTGTCCTGGTAATATGGTACCTTAAATTGTAGTTTGGTTTGTATCCGGAGTCCAATGGACATGTTTATTGATGCCATTCTGTAATACAGTTCATGAAACTTGACAATATGGTACCTTGTACATGTGTAGTTTGGTTTGTATCCGGGGTGCAATGGACATGTTTGTTGATGCCATTCTGTAATACAGTTCATGAAACTTGACAATATGGTACCTTGTACATGTGTAGTTTGGTTTGTATCCGGAGTCCAATGGACATGTTTGTTGATGCCATTCTGTAATACAGTTCATGAAACTTGACAATATGGTACCTTGTACATGTGTAGTTTGGTTTGTATCCGGGGTGCAATGGACATGTTTGTTGATGCCACTGCGTAATACAGTTCATGAAACTTGACACACTTTGCCTTTATGTTTCTATATGTTTTATGATAAATGTTACCAATCCTATTTTCACTTATAAACAAGAAATTACTTTCTGAACAGTAACTCGTTTTATGTCACCTGTCATCTTTATTCAAAGACACATTTTGTCAATGGATGCAGTGGATTATGTGAATCTAAATGAAATTGTTAATAAACATGAAAATATGTCTAGGTTCTTGTCAGACCCGTGAAGATCTGGGGTAGAATAGGTCTTCAGCAACCCATGCTTTCCATAAAAGGCAATGATGCTTGTTGTAAGAGGCGATAAACGGAATCCGGTGGTCAGGCTTACTGACTTGCTTGATGCATGTCGTCATATCCCAATTGCCTGGATCAATGCTCATGATGTCAACCACTGGATTGTCTGGTCCAGACTCAATTATTTACTGACCGGCTTTATATAGCTGGAATATTGCTGAGTGCAGCGTTAAACAAACAAACAATAAACAAACAAACATTGTGTCAGCTTAAATGTGCAATAGTTTAAGGATAGAGCTTACATAACCCTGGAACAATGTAAGGACCCATTGGTTTGGCTGGGCATTTATGTATATCATCTTTAATGTAGATGTAGATAAAGAAGGTCATAAAATACTGGATGCTACTGGTATTCAAAGCTATGGAGAATTCAGCAAACTACCCATGATACCTCGTGATCGACTTAGAAGCATGACACTCCCAGCTGCCTTTCAGTAACAATGAGTATAATTATTTTCATTTAAAAATCCATAGTTACACATCACATTTCAAATATGAGAAATAATGATTTTTAAAACTGCATATACAGCTTGCACTGAACCAATGATTTATTATTGTGCGCAGACTTGTGACAAATATGTTTTGGACTTTATAACTACTCCATGACTGCATTTTTTGTTGCTTGTGCTATCAATCACTGATCTGCCGTGCCAAGAACCTATTATTATACCCCACAACGAAGTGGAAGGGGGATATAGGAATGGATGCTGTCTGTCCGTCACTCCATTCTTTCCGTCTATGACATTTCGTTTCCAGAGCAGAACTATAAAAACATGAGAGATATCTTAACCAAACTTGGTACATAGATAGATCTAGTAGTGAACTGGTGCCATTTCATAGTTTGGGATTTTTGAAAAACTTATTTTGGGGGTTTCCATAGCAACGATTTCGACTGAAAATGGGTGGTAGTGCTCGTTCATAAAAAATGTAAAATATTTTGTGACTTGCACAACCGGTCATGTTATATTTGCAGGGGATCTGAGTATTTCATGTTTGTTTTCCACCTGCTGTAGTGTATAGATGATATTCAGTTCAAGTAACATGTCAACTTAATCTCATCAAGTTACCTTCACAATCCAGTGATAGACATCATGAGCATCGATCCATGCTTGTCGTAAGAGGCGACTAACGGGATCGGTTGGTCAGGCTTGCTGACTTTGTTGATGCATGTCATTGTATCCCAATTGCATGTATCGATCCTCATGATGTCAATCACTGGATTGTCTGGTCCAGACTCGATTATTTACAGACCACTGTCATATTGCTGAGAGGGGCGTTAAACAACACAAAAACACACAAAAACAAAATCAAATACTGACATGTTCATGAGTTGACCGATATTACCAGTGTCTGCCCACCATTACTCCCTCAGCAAACTGCTACTGCATCCCCTAGTGGCTGTATATGCACAAGTTCTTTGAGTTTTAAAGATAAATGATATGCCACATTTACCATTCCAGTGCTGAAGAATGGAGAAGATGATGGTGTAGGACATAATTGGTATGACATTGTGCAATTTCTGACATGAATGAGAAATGTTTTGTATTAAACAATTGTACCAGTGGAGAGAGTGCAAGCAAATAAACAATGATAGATTAACATGAATGACTGTATTATTAAATGGTCATATCAGTTTTTTCTTTCAGTAATCTCAAGTTCTCAAGGGCATGAAGGACTGTGTATGGGAATGTGAAAAGGCTTTGCTGTTGTTATTGTGTATCTGCAAAGATTTTAGAGGATGAAATTCAAGTCATGTAAATAGTTTTTGTGTCCCTATGACAGGGAATTGAGAAACAACATCTCCTATTCTCAGTTTTAAGATGATGTGGGCATATGGTAAGGGATTTGCCTGGGATCAGAGGATCCACAGCAAGCATTATCTGTGTTGGATGTAATTCCAGTGTATTCAGACAAACCAAATGCAACAATTTTAACTCATGTTTTTTGCCTTCAGATACTTCATCAGCTTACCATAACTGACACAGGTCTTAATATGACATATTTGAACAAATCATCACTAAATGGCAAATGGGAACATAAATCAGGAAGAGCGTTTGAGAGAAACAAATTGTACATTCTTATCTTCAATTGCTTAATTTGGTTTGTTCATTTACAGGATGTGCAACTCTTTAGTATTTCAAAATACTTTCGATACACATTTCTTTTTTCTTGTGTTGTATATATGTGTGTCACAATGATATTTCTAAGGATGTTTCTAGTAATACCTATGTGTAGTTGACAAATTAGAAAAGTATATTTGTTTTCAGTAATGTTAAACTTCCTACTCTACAATAATACAAATCTTCCTGAAATACCTGAAATACCCAATGGTACAATCTATGAAGCCGAATTAGCTGGAGTCACTGTCCATGACATTCTTCATCCTACCTCTTGCCATCAGTATGCTGAATACAACTGAACCTTGATAATATGGACAGTGTTTTATGAACAGGTTATGGATGTGAAACAGACTAATAAGATCACAGGGAATGTGACATTAATGGATAGGATGTGACTTTTGCTCTTAAGTGTTGTGGAGGTGTCAATGCAAATGCCTTGATAAATGAACAATTTCATTGATTTTTATTACAATATGTGGTGATTCTGTCACATGTAAGAACCTTGAAAATTACTTTGGTCTTTACGTCAATGGAACTCGATATTTACTTTTGGATGTTTTGTACAGCACTGTCCTTTTGCTAGACTGGAGCCTTGCAAGCTCAGGAAAATTAATGTTCATGGAAAAAACATACAATACCTTTCAGGCAAAAATTATTCAAAAGACTAATTTCCTGTTGTTCAACTTCTAATGTTGTATCATTATTTGTGTTGGCATTGCAAGTTGTGATATTTTGAAGGGATGAGATGTGTACTAATGAGTTGTAATGAATGCTAGTGTAATTGGCAAATCTTTCTTCCAAGTCTCAATGTTCAATTCTTGACAGAGGTAACATCAGAAATTCCTATACTTCAAAAATATGAAATTTCCTGAGAGCTTCTGATTCTTACAGATGATGAAACATGAAACTTATTTTAAATTTGAAAAAATATTTTCAAAGAGGAGACCTGACGGCTTGTCAAAGAATGTTGATTCCAAGACTTGCCGGAAGGAAGGAACAACACAAAAAGACAAACGCAATTGCAGGATGTGACATTTCTCTGCATGATATCAGAGCAGGGAAGGCCAAGGGCAGGAATGTAATGGGAAAAGGGTAAGAGAGTGAGAGAGCCATGATAAAGATGTAAGTCTCACACTGAGAACATCATGGACAAGTTGGGCATGTCCTGTTGTGTTATGACATGTGTATGACAATATGACATGCAGTTTATTCTAATGAAGAATTGGAAGACTTTCCATGCAAGTCCAATTATTTCAGTGATTCTGTAGAATTTTGAATCTTGTCAGTACTGAAAATTCTGAAATAGGATTACCTACATGTTGTGCTTCAAATTTGTCTGGTGGTTGAGTTGTCTGAATGGTCAAGATTTAGAATACATTGGTGTTTGTGTGTCACCGAGGTCATATGTATAACATAATAGCACCTGATGACAGAAGATAGGTGTCAGTTTTCTTTGTTTCGAATGGGTAAGGTTTGATTTAATTCTTAACGCTATTCAAAATTAACATATTTCTGGTTTCAACGGTTTCTCGTGATGTGGCAGGAGTACTGCTGTGTGGTGTCACGCAACAAACACTCTGTTCTTTATTCAAAGTGTGTGAGTGGTGGATGCGACCAGTACGGAAGGACACACTTACCCTTTTCTCAAACACCTGGTGATCACTAATTTTCAGTGATCCATTATTTTCACCGCTATTTTTCCTTTTACACCCAATGGAATTTTTTTCAACAGGTCATTGAGACTGATTGTTCTCTGGCGTTGACGTTTTATGTTCAGTTACAAGTTTCAGAAGTGACACATGTGTTACATCTTTGCTGAAATCCAAGAACACAGGTATGGTGCTGACAAGCCAATCACCCTGATCCAGACAACTCCTGGCTTGACTAAGTGACACAATAGCTGCATCTATAGACGACTGAGGCATTGCCTCAAAGATTTACCCAAAGTTGTCACATCAATAAGGTTCTGAGGTTAATCATTGTACTGCACTGTTAACTGATAGGACAGCATTGATGTGATGACACTTATAAATTTTCTCTACAATAATAACTTGTAATTGTCTGCTCTACACATAATTCAGGCTGCATCCAATGATGAGGTGCAGACTTGTGAAAGGCAAGAAGGCTGCGCATTATTCATCTCTCTTGTTAAAAAGGTATTTTCCTGAAGTGGTGCAGATGTAGAGAATCTGTTGAATTAACATCAGGTTAAGTTGTTTTTTTCCCTTTTATGCCGGATTTTTCTGTGTGAAGTTACACTGATGTACAGGCAGATATAATGATTTATTTATCTGCCGGTTTCACAAAAGACCCCCGTCACTGGACACGAAGAGCATGTTTACAGAAACATGAGAATCATGTGCTTCATCCAGAATGGCAGTGCTCTTTTGACAAAAAAGTTAAATGGGATGTTTTCATGATATTTCTTTTTTGATAAGACAATATAAATGTAACAAGTCTGATTCTAATGATTATATTTATTCAAATATGAAACAAACAGTGACAGGCCAAAGCTTTGAAGTCTAAAAGTGTATGATAAACATATCTGGCAAAAGAGTCGAAAGTCTCCTTTCAGCATCAGAAATAAACATGAATTATTGCATCTACATCCCAGAAGCTATTACGGATGATGTTTTCAGATAAACTAGTATCAGTACATGAAGTTTGATCTACAGGGACATCAACCACAGTTGCTTTGTATAAAACTCCAGGGTGATTCCAGGGTAGGTGAAGCTTTGTATATTGTATTAGATGACTGATAAGGATAGGATGGTTACAATGTGCGGTCTGACTGATTGTGTGTCAGCTGACCACGATGTTGTAGAGTGTTCATTCTATCAATCACTGTTTTCTCAAGGCTCCTGGCTGATTATAGGTATTGCTTACCCACCTGTCATATTGGTCTGCCTCTGTGGTCTGGTGGACCGAGCCCCTGCCCGAATTGCCAAAAAGTCTGTGTTTTGATCCTCTGGGCACATCATACCAAAACATGTTAGAATATGCTGCTCAGCATTAAGGGGCTAAGACAAGGACTGATGACGGTATCCATGTTAAACTGCAGCATGGTATCTCAGACACACACACAAACTATATATTATATGTAGAAAGTGCAATAAACCCAATTTCACCTCACTTCATATTGAAATTATTTAGCAAATAAACACTGTGGGATCATGTTAGAGTGTGTCCCTTCCACTTGAGGTGAGAGGTGGATATGATGGAGCTTGAGGTCGGACTTGGTTGTTGTGTCTTATCATACCCCAGCAGTGTGGGAATCTGCTTACAATGTCAGTCACTGGTTTGTGTGTTGACAGCTAGGCCACCATGCTGCAGCTAGAATATTGCTGACTTTGGTGTAAAACAATAAACAAATACATTCTGCTGTCATGTACAATGACATATAGTAATACAAATCCTAATATGACAAATGTCTAACTACTGTTAAGATTCAGTCCTGGGCAGATATTGCAATGCAGGGTTTTCCTACCCACTAGACCTTTTCCTCCATTCAGCTACCCCTCCCTCCATCCTGCTACCCCTCCCTCCATCCTGCTACCCCTCCCTCCATCCTGCTACCACTCCCTCCATCCTGCTACCCCTCCCTCCATCCTGCTACCACTCCCTCCATCCTGCTACCCCTCCCTCCATCCTGCTACCCCTCCCTCCATCCTGCTACCCCTCCCTCTATCCTGCTACCCCTCCCTCCATCCTGCTACCCTTCCCTCCATCCTGCTACCCCTCCCTCCATCCTGCTACCCCTCCCTCCATCCTGCTACCCCTCCCTCCATCCTGCTACCTCTCCCTCCATCCTCACAACTACCCCTCCCTCTATCCTCACAACTACCCCTCCCTCCATCCTGCTACCACTCCCTCCATCCTGCTACCCCTCCCTCTATCCTGCTACCCTTACTCCATCCTGCTACCCTTCCCTCCATCCTGCTACCCCTCCCTCCCTCCTGCTACCTCTCCCTCCATCCTCCCAACTACCCCTCCCTCTATCCTCACAACTACCCCTCCCTCCATCCTGCTACCCCTCCCTCCATCCTGCTACCCCTCCCTCCATCCTGCTACCCCTCCCTCTATCCTGCTACCCCTCCCTCCATCCTGCTACCCCTCCCACCATCCTGCTACCCTTCTCCATCCTGCTACCCCTCCCTCCATCCTGTTACCCTTCCCTCCATCATGCTACCCATCCTTCCATCCTGCTACCACTCCCTCCATCCTGCTACCCTTACCTCCATCCTCACAACTACCTCCCCTCCATCCTGCTACCTCCCCCTCCATTCTCCTACCCTCTCTTCATCCTACTACCCCTCCCTCCATCCTGCTACCACTCCCTCCATCCTGCTACTCCTCCATCCTGCTACCACTCCCTCCATCCTGCTACCACTCCCTCCATCCTGCTCCATCCTGCTACCCCTCCCTCCATCCTGCCTTCCTCCCCCCCACGAAAAGAAGAAACAGAAATCCATGATGAGCACAGTAACACAGGGAGGGGCCTATCATCACAGCTCAAGGACTGTAATCAGGATTAATGTCTAGAACAATACACTGCAATACGTCACACAAGATGACAACCGGATGTACTAGGAAGGCGAGAATGATTGAATCAGAAATGCTTGTCCAAATACATTTGCCATCAATACTGACATAGTCTGTTATCAAACACAAGGCTGGGAAACATATCTTGTTCCTTAACAGAGGTGGAAGGTTCGCTGGAGTCGTGGCCTTCCATTGGAAACCTACAGTGTATGTGTTATGTGTGTCATCTCAAATATGTCAGTCATGCTCAGTGAAAGAATAACATTAAGTTACAGCAATTTGGCCAATGATTGGTGCCATTTACAGTCACACCGTAGTTTATATAATGTTTGTTCCGTTGCTTTTCCACAAGATCTCCAACAGTGCAGAGTTGCATCCTTTAGCCATGCTTCAGTCAGGTACTGGTTGGTTCAAATCCCACATTCATCCTGATTATGATCCCTGGTCTCTCAGCACTATTCCAATTATGATGGGTTTCGACAAAGTGCAAAAACCTGGGTTCCATTACCCACATAGGTACAACATCTGCAGCCCGCTTCTGGTGTTCTTGCCATGATATTGCTTGAATATTACTGAAAGTGGTGTAAAACCAAACTCCTTCAATCACTCATTCCTTCACTCACTCCTTCACTCACTCACTCACCCCTTCACTCACTCCTTCACTCACTCACTCCTTCACTCACTCACCCCTTCACTCACTCACTCCTTCACTCACTCACTCCTTCACTCACTCACTCCTTCACTCACACTCCTTCACTCCTTCCTTCATGCATTCCTTCACTCACTCACTCACTCCTTCACTCACTCACTCCTTTACTTCTTCACTCACTCCTTCACTCATTCCTTCACTCACTCCTTCACTCACTCACTCCTTCACTCATTCCTTCACTCGCTCACTCACTTACTCCTTCACTCACTCACTCACTCACTCACTCAATAATCAGACAGGTCATGATATGACTGAAACTTCAAGAGACATTAAACCAAACCAACTCACTTTCAAATGACCCCGGAATCCTTTCAATGCATGACCATCCAATGTGTATCCTGATTGCTTCTGTGGTATGCTTAATGGTGATGTAATACTACCAATGACTCAACAATTTTTTTATCTCTAAACATGCATTTACGTTATATTAGAGCTAGTATGGTATCATCTTATCGCGGTACAATTTATGTCTCAAGTAGCTGTGCATGAGCGCTAGACACCACTACACATGCTCACTCAGGCTACAAGGGATATCCTATGACAGCTTCTTCTGCGTTATATGACAAGACATTTGTTCATCGTTTTACTTATTGCTGCGCATGCAGTGCACATCTGGGGGTGGTGTGTTCATTGGGCGGGGTTCAATTGGCACTCCTCAAAACAATAACTTCACAATATTTGTTCAGAAAATTGAGACCTGTATTTATTTACAAATTGTAAATCGTCAGCTTTAGAAATACATGATTCTAATTGACACACACGCTCAAATCTGACTTTTATATATAAATACGAAAAGTAGAAAATGTTGTATCTATGTTTGAATAAAAATTGTGCACTTTTTGAAGTACAAGGTCAGCCTTAATAAAATACAGCTGGCACCTACTTCTTCATATAAAGAAGGATTTAAGCAACAATAGTGATTGATAATTATAAAAATGAAACCCATGTCCTTCCTACCTTGTTGTTGATCACTTGCTTGATAAACTTACAATTACCTTTACAAAATGTTCATCACAGAAAAGTTTAAATTGATAATTGATGCATATTGATTATAACCTCTTTTTTCTCATATAAATAATAAACATGGTTGAAAGATATGTTTTTTTTATAAAAGAAACCCAGGAAGAAAAACTTTTATATTTATATAAATAATTCCTGAGAAGTGTATTTATTTATGAAGTTAGAAACACAGTATGCCAAGTTTTCATTTAAATGTGAAACTTTGGAGGTAATTGAGTCATAATACAATTTACAATTTTGGAAAGATTATTTTTGTTTAATCCCAAAAAGGAACAAAATAATTCAGGAGATTCTTTTTAAAATGGTAAATCGTATTATGACTCAAATTATTCCAAAAGTCTCACATTTAAATGCAAACTTGACATACTGTCATTGTAACTTAATAAATAAATAAAACCTTGTACAAATGATTGTACAAGTTCTTTTGCAAAAGTTGAAAAACATAAACTTTTTCCCATATTAGAGATTTGACAGGGACTGCATCCTCGTAGTGATGGGACAGATGCAGCTGATGACCTTCAGAGTGCAATCTGATGACCTTCAAACAGTTTTACATGTCAAGCCCTTGATGTTTGAATCAGAGGAAATACCCACCAAATTGTTTACATAACATTTCAAGAGCTTAACCTTGTTTTGCTCAACATATGTTTCTCATCCTTTCAGTTGAAAACTATTTAATTATTTTTAAATGACCAGTATACACATATGGTGTTGACAAGAGATGAAAGTAAATCAACTTTTTTACCTTCAGCATCAGATGCCTTTGAGCACACTGTAGTACTTTTAAAAAAAATTGTTTACAGAACCGCTGACCCTAAAAAATAGAAAATAAAATAAAATCTTAATTTCTTTTTATTCTGCCGAATGCAAATTTTGTGCAGGTCAAAAATTAAAGTGCACCCTTATCAAATTAGTCAATTAAAAACTTCTCTTTTTTATTTGTCCGTTTCAAGCTTGTTTATGAAAGGGAAGTTAATTACTGTCATTCTCACCTTCTAACTGAACTATCCAGATATAGTCTGCCAAAAAAAAAAATGCAAAAGTAGTAACAATGTGAATATCAATATGAGACATATGTAAAATCAAAAATTATTTCTGAGGGAGTCTATGACGAAGAACTTGAAATCATATGCGCATTCTGATTGGTTTGTCGTATTTTCGCACATAACATTCATTGATAGGGGGACGAGTCTTCTTGCAGGTTATGGAAAGGGGCGAGTGGTGACGAATGCAGAAATTTGGTGAAAAGATGGAAAAATTGCAAAAACAGTACCATGTGAGAACCTGTTGCCGAAACACACCAACATGACATGCACGTGGAACATCACTTGTTGGGCTGTACGATTGTCTGGTCCAGACTTGATTATTTTCAGGCTGCCATCATATAGCTGGAATATTACAGAGTGCAGCATTAAACAACAAATAAACAAAACATCTATTGTCTTTGTACAGTTTGACTAACAGAGTTAAGAGCATGAATGACCCACAAGGAATTAATATTTATTTATTGTCTCAATTCTATATGTACTTTTTGTACTACACACAGACACTTGATAGCACAATGTTTTTCCAGTGTACTAGATCTCAAAGAGATTTTCATATCATGTTATTTTTACCTTCCTCATGTAAAACGACTAATTGTTATTGTAGTGGTATATTTGTTTGTTTACTATGTCAACATGGCACTTCTAAAGTTTGTCATTAGGGGGAATTTGTAAACACTGGATAATTCCTGACCATCTATTTAGGGACAAAGATCTGCATCATTACCACTACCTCTGTTAGCGTCACGACTTCTGATGATAGCAGTGCAATCATAATTGTGTACAAGGAGATTAAAAAATATCCTGCTTTATCACCATCACATTGAGGAATATTTGGCAAAAGCTGGATATCATGTTTCTTGAGATTTCTCCAAGGACTTCAATCTTTCCTATTCATTACATTATATTTAGCAAAATGAAATAAAGAGGAATATTCTTCCATTTGCCTGGGGAAATTACAAATGATGCAATTTAATGTGGTATTAATTTGACATGAGATACAATGTAGTATTCACCAGGGAAATGGTTACTAAATTAGTTTTTTTATATTTCATTCCGAATGTTTTGTGTGTCTGTGTTTTTTCACTTCTGTAAAACATATATGTGTATATATGTTTTCAAAATGCACAATATATTGGTGTTAATGGTCCAGTGTTGTCTTTCTCAATTCTGAAATTGTAAATATCTTTAAAAGATTTGATAGATTCCATGGTTGTTGATTGTGAATGTTAATCTCCATTAGATACGTCAGGATATCTCAATCCTTGAAATGTGTTCTGTATTTATTGCATATACCTTAGCAGTACCTCATATAGAGAATAGTCTCTTTTGATATATCAAATATACATATACGAGTCATTGAAACAGATTTATTATATATCCTCCTCTTAGGATTAAAAAATCAAATGAACCTCTTTGTTTGGCTGAAACTGTTTCATATGCTACCCAAATAAAGTTAAAAACCAGTTGATATTTTCATATTAGCATAGTTAATCTGTCATGAGTACTGTATGTATTTTCATAATAGTTTTTACTGGATGTGCTTCAAAGACAATGTTCAGAATTTGTTGTACAACTCTTTATCTCTTTCAAAGCCAATAGCAAAATTGTTAACAAAAGACATTTGTTTTATTAAAAATGACAGCAACACTATCTCCAGTACAATACAACTCAAATATTCTTCCAGTATTATTAAGTTCTAATCAAGGCACATATAAATATTAACCATGGACGCCAGAGAATAATCAGTCTCGATACTGCCACAACAGATTCCACTGGGTGTAAAAGGCAAAAAGTTGTGAAATTATATGAATAGATCACTGAAAATCAAATATACATGTATAAAATCACTGTGTAACTTACCGGCATGTTATACATTCAGCAATACCTATTGGGACAGTTTGCCTTCATGCAGTTGGGAGTTGTCACAGCTGAACTGATGTACTGGCAAGAAAATTGTGACTTTATTAGAGTTTGAAATGATAATACTATTGGTTTTGTTTAATAATCTGTATAATATATGAGATCACCATCGGATCTATGTAAGTCACTTCACTGTAGTCAAACAAACTGGTTGGTAAAGATAATCCTCCGCTTTTTGAAGCGCAATACATGTTAGATTCAAACACACATGAACCCTGCTGAGGTAATTAACAGCCATATAAAGTTTCAGCGCATTTGGTCCAGCTGTTACCAAGAAGATAAAAAGTAGCATAATTCT